TGTACTACTGATTTATCTAATATGACATTTCCACATCCTAAAGTGTTGGATTTTTATGAAATAATAGATGAGTAATAAAAATGAAAAAAGAGCTTGTACTGACGCCTGAAACCTTTGAGAGTTCTATAATACGAGTATGATGTCTTGGTTCTGTGTTGTTTTTGTAAACCGGGGGAGTTTTGTTGTATATATAGCTGATATGTTCTTTTTTTTATTCGTTTTATATTATGAATGCTTCGACTTGTGACCCATTTTATACTGTGGATGAATTTTTTGTATATACTAGTCAGTAAGATTAATTGTATTCTGGTTCTGTTCTTATGTCTTGACTTAGTTCTTTGTACTACTTATTTATCTAATATGACTTTTCCACATCCTAAAGTATTGGATTTTATGGAAATAATAGATGAGTCCTGAGTTCCATACTGGGGGAGTTTTGTTGTATATATGGCTGATATGTTCTTTTATTTTGTTTTATATTATGAATGCCTTGACTTGTTCCTGTGGGAATGGAATGCTTGTTTTTTTGATCTGTGACTCATTCTATATCCAATGGTTGTTTCCCAGCCTGTATCTGGATCCATTTTGAATTTGAAATAAATTGAATTCAATTGAATATTGAAGTTTACTGTGAAATAAATGACATACACACATGTGTCCCAAAACAGCATTCACTATCCAATACCACAAATTCACACATTTTCCAGGACGTTCCAAGACGACCTAAACTAGAGCCACCTAGCACAAAATACCAAAATAGCTACTGATAGCTACCAATTAAATTATTTGCAGTTTTACACATTGCCCATAGGTGTGTTGTCTATGGCCCATAGGGTAATGTCAAGCTGTCCCTGCACTTTAAGCACTACACCATGAAGACGTATGGGGGAATGGACGTATAGATCCACGTTTTCTTGACCATGGCACTAGTTGGAAGTGCATCTGTGGCCCATACGAATTAAAACTTGGCACAGAAAAGAATTCCATTGGTGGTTACTACTTGCAAATAATGAATTACTAGGTGATCAAACACAGATAAAAGGTATTTCTGATGTTTCTGAAGAGGATGTATTTACGCGATAAAATTTTACTTACAATATTGTTCTTTTTAGACTAAAATTATTTGGCTATTAGCAATGACTGAAAATTTAACATCCATAAGATAATCACTGTAACGATTTAAGTGATTACTGGTGACCTTCCATTTGTGGTAATTATGTTCGCATAATGTAACTGGAATAATAATTAAAATACAAGTTATGGAAATATACCAAATAGTAACGCAAATTAAAAGTTTTTCTTTCGTATGCAGTTTTGGGCGTCGCCCTCTTTGGAAATGTCCTGGTAGCGCAGTGTGCTTTTACATTTTGATGGTTAGTGAAGTTACAAAAATTAGTCCTCACACTGAAAGCCTATGTAAATATTACATCGTATATTTGTAACCTACAAATGTACTTAAAATATGAGCTGTCAGTTTTATATCAGTAGCAGCTGATATTTGATGTAGTTTCAGGGGTTATCTTACAACTCAGTAAATATCTTAAGACTGTGTAATTTTGAACAGTAGGATACTGACTGAATTAGATTTTGGAAGGAAGCAGATAATAGTGTCAACATAAATGCAATGCTCTTTCACCAGTTAAATGGTATATTTTCCATGTTCGTATCTCTCCTGCAGTGGGACATGAAAATTTGTTACTGCGGTATTTCATTTTATAATTATTGCACCTGTGGGAACATCCCACATACTAACACGCGGTTTCACAGGTCTAACAGATAGCACTCAACTCCTAGTCAATATCACATTCAAAGTCAAAGTCAAAGTCATGTTGCAAGTGATGGTCAGTCAATCTGTGTGTCTTGGTGTCGAGCCCCAGCTGGGGCTTGTGACCAGATGTTTTCTTCTTTGTGAAAGTTGCTGTCCTGTCCATTTGGGGCACCCTCTCTGACAAGAGGTCGGGTCTGTCCATTGTCAGTATTGACATATATTTACAATTTAATTCTAGTCTTAATTACTATTTCTATGTACAATAATTACAAGGCCTCTGTCAATCCAGGCTTTGTACAGCAGATTATGCCCTATTTCTAGTAGTAATCGCTACCACGGCAGTCTAGTCACTTGAACGGTCGTATGCCTAACCGCCACCAAGTTTAAGCCTCAATATCACATTGCTGCCAATGCTCGTATTTATACAGCACTCGCTGTCCAGCCCACCTTTACATCATAAAGCGCGCTAGCCAATCAGCACTCACAATCGCAACTGCTACTTTAAGCTCCGCCCGGCAAGCATGGTATAAAAGGCAAAGCCCAAGGCTCGCAATCATCACATAACAAAATTATGCAAGCAACAAGTAGAAGTCATACAAAATCATGAAAATGAGAATGTTCACATGTATTGGTCAAGGTGAAGGCCAACACAGAAAGTATAAGAGGCTTAAACTTGGTGGCGGTCAGGCATACGACCGTTCAAGTGACTAGACTGCCGTGGTAGCAAATAATACTAGAAATAGGGCATAATCTGCTGTACTGAGCCCGGACTGACAGAGGCCTTGTATATATTGTACAAAGAAATAGGAATTAAGACTAGAATTAAATTGTAAATATATGTCAATACTGACAATGGACTGAATAAGACTGACAAATGACAGACCCGACCTCTCGTCAGAGAGGGCGCCCCAAATGGACAGCTGGGGCTCAACACCAAGACAGACAGACTGACTGACCGTCAGTTGCAACATGACTTTGACTTTTTTTACTTTTCGCAATCATCAGTGATCACATTCAGTTCAGAGCGATCAGTCATCAGAGTCATGAGGTGTTCATTGCACCAAAGACAGCTGCCGCAACTCTCCAGGAACCATGCTCTGTGACCAGGCAGCTAACGTAGTTGCCACAACTCTCGAGCAACCTCGCTCTACGTCCAGGCAGCTAAAGTAGTTGCCACAACTCTCCAGCAAATGCGCTGTAGGCAGCTGATCCTACCGGCGCATGCAGCACCACATCACCAGCCGGACACACCAGCTGAACGGCTGTAAAGACTTGGTCTACTACAAAGGAGCAAATTCTGCCAGCGCACTCACGGTGGAACAAACTCCCTGTTTCAGGTCCAGCCAACTTTTGAACATCGACATTCCACATAGCTTCACAGCTATTCTGTACATTAAATTTATACAATTTAATATATATAATTGTTACAGTTTTATGTGGTTGTCTTTTAGAACACCGACAATCCCACACACCCTTTTTAGAATTCAGTATCTCAATCATGTGCCATTATAAAATTATGAAACAAAAAGTTTGAGTGTTCATATATCCATATTTTCATTCATATAGCTGTTACATTAAAGTTTATGTATATTTTTTAGTAAAATTCTGTACTTTTTCTTTAGTCTCAAAAGGTACACCACTACCATAACTGAAATTAATTTCAATGAGCACAAAGGTATGTGTGTGACTCATGCACATTCAGTGTCAGATTGTCAGACGTTTAGAGATGAAACACAATCATAGAAGCTGACAAAACCACCTCCACTATAAACACACAACATTGATTATTGTAACATTTCACTATGGCCTATTACAGGTCTGACTGTCTCATTTATAACAGACCTTTCTTACTGCCTGTCAGCAGAATCTGTACTTCCTTTGCAGGCTCAAGGGTACTATGGATGAATGAACTATACAACAATAGCTATTTGTTCTTCTGAACACTGACTACAAAAGCACAATTTTGTAGACTATGAGATCATCACTAAAATGGATATACCACTGGGAACAGTTGCAACTCCAGTGTCACATATTGTGTCTTATAATTATAGTGGTTTTCACAACCAGCCCATAGTACACTTTCCACCCACTAAAATCTTACATTCAGACACTTCTTAGCCACTTGTTGAATCTTAATCGCCTTTCATGCCTCTAGAAGCATGTGGCCATATGGTAACATTGGGAATGGCGCAGCACACGGTGACACCCTGCAGTTTTTGCAGTTATACCTCGTTTCACAATGTTGACCCTTTTTGTTGCAAATAGAATGAAGAAATTTGAGTAAAGATGAAACCTCTTATTGAACAGGTCCAAAAATATGGATGTTTTCAGAATTTCTATCTGGGAAAATTAGCTCTTGTTATCCAGTTTCTGGTGAAGTTCTTGTAACAGAATGAATGCCAGCAACTTTAGTATTTCATTTCTGTTCATCTCCTTCCAGTGATGGGTCTTAGATCTTAGTTTTAGAATTAGATGTTTTTTAGAAATGATTTTGCATACCTACACAACTTTCTGGCGTATAAAACAACTCAAAATATTTCAGGGAGTTACTAAGGTCTCCTAAATCAACATTTATGCCAGGCTTGCCAGTAAATGGAAAATGTTTTCACTCAGCACCTGACTTCACCCTCATGCCCTACTGCATGCTACTGTTGTCACTGACATTTTCTTCTTCATCAGAGCTGTCACTCTTTTCACCACATAATTAAATTTTCACATTTATTTCACTGCCACTCCTATATTCACTCTCAGAAATATCACTATATTCATTCTCTTGCAACAGTTCATATAACACCTCCTCATCACTTACATGCATCTCCTTGATAGGACCTGCCATGTTTACTCACAAAAACTTAAACCCAGGAGAGCTATCAAGCAATCATCACCTTTCTGTCACACTCTGAAGTACCTAGAAGATCTAGCAAGCACAATGTATAAATTTGAATTGCCGACTGTCATGTCATTATATTGAAAATGGTGTAGTTGGAAGCGTGCGCAACACGTAGCAACATCATAGACATTACAGTGTAGTACTGCATGGTGTGTTAAGATGTCATAACCACTTAACTTGTTAGAAGGTGGTGCTCTTCAATCTGAAACTCATAAAAGAAACACAGTGAAACAGTTTATAAAGGTATACCACCAAAATAACCTCTTTCACTTGAAATAAAGGCTTGTAATAACACAATAAAAACAGCATAATTTATGTAGCTACATAAAGGAAATGAGAGTGTTACTTTTCACAACATTTATTAAAACAAAACTTGTATAATAACTACAGGGTTCTAATTTTTCCGTTATAATTATGAAGGTCTTGGCTGGAACATACAAATATTATGCAGAAACAGTCTCTACCATGGTTTTCTTAATGATTTCACCAAAGTTCTCATCACAATCATCTGTGCCACCTGCAGAGGCAGAACTAGAATTGTTTTCATTTTCACCAGCCTGGCCTTTGTCCCCTTCAACATTTATACTATCACTCACTGTCAACTGCTCTGTTGAAGCTCCACTGCTACTGTAGGTGGCAGACAGCCCATGCATTGCAGAGGAAGAATTATCGAATGTAGCACTGGGGGCAGATGTTCGCGTAGTAGCCATGTATGAGTACCGTCCCTGGAGAAGTTCAGAAAAGGGTTCCAGCTTGTTACTCATGGGGCATACAGTGTGGAGATTGGTGTAGTGACCATGTACAACACTGCTGCCACCAGCATGCTTCCCAATGGGATCCTGGTTGTCAAAACTCTCCCTTGGGTCTCCTAGCATAGAGAAACCTTCATAAGAACTGCTCCCAGTACCCAGTAATGGCTGTGGCCTCTGATGGAATTCTCCATTCTGACCAGGGTTGCTCAGCATGTTGTCCTTGTAACCATCACCCCCTAACCCTTCACCGGTGACCTTACTTGTGAAATCATGACCATACACTCCACTATAATGTCCAAAGTTTTCTGCAGCTGGGGCAGGATGGGGATTGGAAAAAGCAGAGAAGCCAGAAGAATACTGATATTTAGAACAGGTCTCATCACCATATGTTATACTGGTGGTAGCAGCTGCTGGTGGTCTAGTCTGTTGCTGGTAGCTGGAGGTATTAGTATCAGGAAATGATGGTCCAGGCAGAAGTCCAGCTGTTGGAGGACTAGCAAATGGCCTTCCTCCTACATTAGTTGGTTGACTAAAATGAAAACCAGGAGTCATGTTAAATTCTTGATGTTCATTTGAGTGGCCCTTTCTCCCTTGTTGTAGTACAGAGGTACTAGAATGGTGTCCAGAGAAGTGGTTACGATCCACACTGCTGTTGCCTTCCAGCTGATCAGCTGACAACTCATTGCTGTTTTCCTCTGAGTAGCATTCATCTCTGAAAGTGTACAGATCCAACGAATCTTCACGAGCGGGCAGATCTACCATCCCTGAGAATCCAGTTGTGTTTCCGCCTGATACATCTGAACCACTTACAGTTCCTTCAGGCCCTTCTCCAGAACCACCGTAGTGGAGATTCGTAAAGCTGCCAGCATGGACACAGGATTCAACTTCAATGCCCGAACCAAGACTTACATCTCGTAGAAGACTGCCATTGAACTTTGGAGCCCCTGCCAAGTTGTCTATGGCACCTTTCCCTTGCTCCTGGTAAGACGATGATGATGACGACGATGATGATGATGATGACGACGATGACGATGATGATGATGGGCCAGACAATCTGTCCTCCTCAGCCCAATGAAGATTTCTATTTGAATTCTGTTCCTGTTTGGTTGACATATCTCCCCCACCTTCCTCCTCTCCTTCTTCCAGTTTCTGTTTCTTTTCCAATTCCAGCCTCATTAGTGTGTGGATAAAATGTGTGCGGACTCGAACAGGATTGAATTCAATGCGACCACTGGAGTTAGCACAGCCATCACGAGAACATCCACAAGGGAAATTGAGACGATCCACCTGTGAAAATAACAAGCCTTATTCAGTACTATTATGTTATTATTTCTATTGTTTAACATATCAACTGTGGCACTTAGCAAATATACATACATTTCAAGTAGGAGACTTGTGAAGGAAGGAGTTCAAGAATTAACTGATATGCTGCTTAACACACTGCGGACCGGACGGGCCATATGGCCCTCTACGTTTCCAAGCGTTGCAGACCGGGCGGGCCATATGGCCCTCTACAGTCACGTTATGTTGCAAAACGCTATATATCGCTGTGTGGCTTCTTTGAATCATAACTACTGCGTAGATGACCTCGGGAATGATTGCTGCCTTATCTAGTAACTCGACCAGAGTCATTTCCTGTCACAACCTAAACAAAATTGGCTTTGTTCTAATCCAAGCTTGCACGTATCAACCATGCAGCTACCAGTTCAACATGGCTCAGAGACGAAAGCAGTTGCGATCTCTCGGAGGACAGGAAATATTAGATATGTTCTCCGATGAGCTATCAGATTTGCCAACTGCTTCGTCTTCTGATAGCGAGGCCATTATCAGTGACAGTGACAGTGACGGGGGCCACAGGGCTGCCCAAAATGTGTCAAGTGAAAGTGAGAGCTCCGTTGAAAGTGCGAGTGTCGGGACAGCTACATGAGATAAAGTGGACAAAACCCCCACTTTGGGAAAGTTTACTGGTGATCCGGGGGTGAAGCAGATGCCATCGGACCCAATGGACGTGTCTGAAGTTGCGTCACTGTTTTTTGAGATAGTTTCTTTGACGGAAGGGGGACATTCTTCTTCAGTCCTGGAGGGATACTCACGTTGTGAATATGGTTTCCACTATTCACAATTCGAGCATGGTCGATGTTCAAAGACGACACGGGCAAGTAAAGAAGCCTCTTTGTATTTCCGAGTATAATATGTTCATGAAAGGAGTTGATATAGCCGACCAGTTCTTGGCCTATTATTCCCTTCCTAGGAAAACAGTAAAATGGACGAAGAAAGTTGCACTGTGGCTTATAAACTGTGCAATTTTCAATTCATTTACGGTTTTCAAAAACGTGAACAGAAATTCTACTTTGAAATACAAAGCATTTCTGTTGAAACTGGCAAAAGCTTGGGCTACTGACATCATGGTGGCGGCAGTACCTGCGCCAGACACAGACGTAGTGCAGCCGGGGCCATCTGTTCACACCTGCCAGAGGCCTCAAGTAGACCCCCCTGGCCGATTCTCGGGTGATATGCGGAAACATATTCTCGTGAAAATTGTGAAGAGTGAATATTGCACGAAGAAACACCCTTCTAGGCAGTGCTGTGTGCGCGCAGAGCACAAGAAGAAGAGTAGAACTGTCCACATGTGCAGCTTCTGCGTAATGCCTCTTCACAAAGGGGAATGTTTCCAGAGATATCACATGCGCAAGCACTTCTAGGAGCTCTGGTAAGTGTTCTCCAAAAATTTCAGTTCATAAAATTAATTAGGAGATTTTATATTAATTTTTAAAGTGAACAGTGCACAAGTTAGGGTAGTAGGTTTAAAAACGCCAGTCCCCAGGGTGATTTAAATGTTTAAACCACCGGTCCGCAATGTGTTAAGTCAAGTTTAATTTCTTGAGTTAGGAAATGACATACATTTGGAGGGTAAAGACAGCATGACAGCATTAAATGAAAAGATCTCAGTAACAAGCTCCAGTTCCAACATGGATGGATAAACTGAAACTTCTTTAAACACAGGAAACATACAAACATACAAGCTGAACGGCTGTAGGCCTGACCACCACCAAGTCTGAGCCTCTTACATTTCCTATACATGGCTTCTCCTTGTCCACTACTATGTGTATTTGGATTTACATGGTTTAGGATTACAGTGGAACCTCACTTAACAAGCATAATTCGTTCCAGAATCTTACTCATAATGCGAAAAACTCGTTAAGCGAAACAATTTTTCCCATATAAATTACTGTAAAATACGATAATGCATTCCATGCCGAAAAAATACTCAAAAAATTTTATGTATAACGTTTATTCAAAGAAAATTATATATACACTGTTAAGGAGCATGAATCATCTTCAGCTTTTCTTCTATGCGGAATGAACCAACCTGGAATCCAAATTCGATTTGCAGAAAAAAAAATAATTAGTTTATTATTTATGATACATATCTAATTCTTTTTTTACTAGAAAGCTGTCTAGAGACATTTGTTTTTGCCGACACTTCAAAATTTGGTGAAAATGCGACACAGCATTATCATCTGATAAATTTGTAGTGCGCATAGCCACTGCCTTATTAGGGTGATGCTTCTCAATGTACGATGCAACAGTTTCCTGTGCTTTCAGCATTTCTCTTATTGCGCCAGAAGATTGTTTCTTTGCTGTTACCTCCTCATCCTCCTCCTCCTCTGACAAACTCTCCTCCACAGTTTCTTGCTGTGAAACACAATGCAACTCCAAATCGTGCAAATCGTTGATGTAGACCAATTCTATGTGCGTGCTAGATCATCCACGCTCACACCTCATTCTCGCTTTTCAATGATTTTGTTTCATTTCTATGGTTATTTTTATTCTCTTATGGCTGTCTTTTTGCGGCTTTATCTTCGGGAACATTTTTGCAAGGGTTATTAAACTTTGCACAAAAAAAATCACAAATAATATGTCTGAAAACAAGTTTGGAAAAATGTGTGATCACAAGTGACACTAAGATGCTGCAGAACGAGTGCTAAACACAGACTGATGTAGCAAGCGCACAACCCGGGACTTCCCCTCTTGTCACTCGTTATGCCAAACGTCGCTCGGTAAGAAAGTTACTATTTTTTTTTTTGCAATTTGTTTTGCTTGTTATGAGAGGTGCTCGTTAAGAGAGGTTCCACTGTATTTCTGCCTGCGTCCTGCATAATTTAGTGATGTAGTTGTATAAATAAGGAATTATGAAAGCCACATGAAATTCGTGGACATTGTGCACATGTGAAGATTTCAAATAGTGCAGAGTACTCTGTTCTGCAGGCGCTGCAATTTCAAAAGGTATGTCTGCCATGTACTCCCAGGTGGCATAGGCATAAGTCATAACTGACCTAATCAGAGCTTTGTAAAGCATAAGTTTAATATCTGTATTTAAATGCCCACTTCTGAATAGGGAATAGGCCCCTATGTACATGTCTCCATGTCATACTCCTGTTGAAGGAGACATCAAAATGTTACATTATTTACAGAGGGAAAATCTTGTCCGTTTAGTTGTAGTATGTCAGGTCAGTCAGTCTGTCTTGGTGTCAAGCCCCATCTGGGGCCAAAGACCAGATTTTTATTACTGTCAGACAATTGTGGGTTTATTGATGTGGGGCACCCTCTCTGATAAGAAATCAGTTCTGTTGTTTACAATTGCTGCAGGCCCTCGCCAGCACAGTCATTCTTGGGTCTGAGTTCCCTGGGACTCAAAGACCATATTTTACTGTCTCAGGTTCAAGACTCCCCCCAACATGGAGGGCCAGGTCCCTGCATTTATATCTCCCAGGAACAGGGTGGCCCAGTTATAACACCAGGCACTGGGTTCCCTTTTCATCATCTCCTACGACTCACAGGGCTACAGTGCAGGTATTCAAACCCACATCCACACAGACAATTTCAGTCAGAGTCAGAGCCAGGATTATTTTATGACTGGCACTTTACCACCAATCAGTTTTGTCTTGTCGTCAAGCCTCTTTAGGCTTACGACCAGCTTTCTTCACCCCCCCCNATAACCAAACCCTCGCTGTCATAGCCCTTGTGTAACATCCTCTCTGACATGAGGATGGATTTGTCTCATTAATATGCTTGGCCTTTGTCCAGTGGGGTGAATTTACTAACTAGAGATTTCATTATATAGCCTTGGGGAGACACCACAGACGACACACTCTCTTGCAGTTGCTATTTTATGAGTGACATAACCATTGCAGCAGACCACATAAAAAAGACTGCTTCCAGTAGTTATTCTATACTTGTGTGATTGTTGATGTGGTCATATGACAAGTTACCGACCACTGCGTAGCAATGAGTGCTCGCTCAATAGGACAGTAATGTTTTTACAGTGCCATAACCTAGCAGTAGATACTGCTTCTCTAATTAAACTTTTCCAACTTTCAGCAGACATGCCACAACATGTTTATAGTGAGGTTACATACTTGGCATTTGATGCCAGCCTGTGAGCACGAACAGGTATCAGGATCACAGTAGCCTTTGCACCCACAGCCACAGAACTCACGCGATGATCGTATATCCCTGCATTCATCTTTCTCAACAGAGTCTATTTTTCTAACACCAGCAGCACGTAAGAGAGCCCTTCTCTGACGAGTTGGAACTGGCTGCAACAAAGAAGTTAACCAAATTAAAAAATGAATTAAACAGTGTTAATTTGACAATGGTTAACATGTAAACTGAGTCCTTCTTGCTGTGACCTTCTACACCAAAGTATGGAAATTATGTGCTGAATGGAGAGGATAATATTAATTTCAAAGAACATGTGTTTCCTATGACTGCTGTCTGTAAACTACAGAAAGAACACATCACATTTAGAATCTGGGTAACTTGTATCCATTACATTACAGTAAGTAGAAAAATTTACCAGTTGGATATCCTCAGTGTAACATGTGGAAGTGCACTAGCACTGTACCATGTGAAACTTTATTCTACTTCACAACAACATATGTCTCAACACTGCATCATTAACTGCTTGAAGACATAAATAAGTGGCACCCTGTCTTCCCCTGTAGCTACATTTAAATTGCAGCAAATCCCTGCTGCTGCAGTATATATGGCTGGGATGTATCAATAAGTAAAATGCATTATTTTATCAGAGAAGACCACACAAGAGCATATCAACTGATGACAGAGTCTAGAACAATCTAAGCATAAAGTTTACAACATCTGAGACATGGTATAGCTATAAAGACTCTATTACTTTACTATTACATTTCATGGATATTTTTAAGGTATCCCTTGCAGGATACCTATCAATATATACTACAGCACTTCTGTGAGAGCAGAGTCTCTCTCCCTACCCATACCTGTAGGAAATAATAGCTGTCAAGGTCAAGTTCTGATTCAGAAGCATCACTCTGCTCCTCTTCACTCTCAGAGTCATCACTGGATGAGATGGGAGCACCTTGGGCATTCAGCCGTTCACTGCGTAACTGAAGCAATACCTGTTGAAAAATACATATGAATTTCGATTGTCACATTCTTTCCGTCTAATGTGGCACATTCTTCTGGCCTAAGCACAATGATGCTGCTAACTGATATCAAAATTTGAATTATACGTTTATTTATAAGGGGAACTCAGCATTTAAACTTTGTGCATTCAAAACAAAACTACCTATTCTTGGTATATGTATTATTTATTAATTCACTTATTAGGCATCTTCAAGGAATGCATGCTGTTGTGTGTTTATCACTGTGTGTGTGTGTGTGTGTGTGTGTGTGTGTATGTCATCATCATACCTGTCAAACACAGCAATCAATAAAAATAACTCACTTTCACTCTATCATGTCAACAGAGCTTTTACTGGATTAAAGCATAACGTTGCAACATGTTTTGGCTCTCAGTGAGACATTATCAGGTGATACAATCTACAAATCTTAAATTACTGAACTGTGATTCACAATTATGTGTGTATATATACAGTAGAACTTGGTTATAACGTCATCAAATGGACCTAAAAATAGTGTTGTTATAAACGAATGTTGTTGTAACCGAAATGGGCACTTCCACAGTAGCCTTGTGTTAGTCACGTAAAAATCTATCAAAAACCAAGTTAAAATGTTGCATTTTTTAGTGAAATACGCAGTTAAGTACAGACTAACGTAACATTAACGTGGAATTGCCCAAATGTGTAATATCAAAGACATATTACAGCGCTTTTCACTGACAATACACACCGCACTAATACTGTATATTAAAGGTAGGCCTACTCACCAAATTACAGTAGATTACATCAACTGTTGTGCCTTACTGTACCTAGATACGAGTACAGTAATCAGTTATCTTCATCTGTTTCCTGTTACTTGCCCAATACACACTTTCTAAATTACGTTCAATGTCCATATCAGAGAAATTCAGGAATGAAAATGACGTTACATACGAGGTTGATGCATTTGTGCATGTCGTACTAAGCAAGGTATAAAAACAGTTGCTTTATGAGGAATTAGTTCGTACCATTGAATATTTGATGCAATAGACAAGGTGTCGCAGAAACTGATGTTGCTATAACCAAGTTTTACTGTATATATACACACACACATTTACTAGGCAGCTCAATATTCAAACTCTGCATTTACATCCCTGGCACATACTGTGTTTATTCAGTTACTTAGAAGAGAGTTCAGTATTTTAACTCTGCAGTGAGCACAATACCCATTCCTAACGTATACATTATTTCGTCATTTCTTACAGATGAGCTCAGAATTTAAACCTGGGCACTGCCCACTAAGTATGTATTCATGGCATATATGCAGTACTCATTACCACCCTGTTCAGTGAAATTTACAATGCATTACATACATAACAAGTTTCCTTTATTAAGAAGTAATATCCCAAAGGGAAAGATCAACAGAATCTCTGATGAAGAGGTGTAAGGAAAACCCAAAACTGCAAAACGCCTCAAGGCCTACCACTTGTCAGGATGAAGAAGACGCAATATCTCACATAAAGCATGAATAGAGAAAAGAGCATTACTTGAAGATGTTAACAGAGCAAAGAGCAATGTTCTCTGGTGTATTACAGACAAAACACATTACATATATTAAAGAATCATACACACAACTTTGATCTCCAATATCTGAAAATCTTAGGAATACTAATTTTCTGAATTCTGTATATCTTTAATTTCAAACAGAACACAACAGTTTAAAAAATGAACGTCTCCATCTTAAGGTGAGAAGGTGGGAAGGTATCTATTCAGCTGGGCATATCAGAAAGAGCTATCTCAATCACTGAAACAGTGGACAACGGACTTTCAGCTTCTCAAGAAATTTGGTCCATGCAGTCAGTGGCTATAAAATTACTTACTTTCAGGTTTTAGGTTTTGGAAGCTACATACCCAGTTGTATGCGATACTGTCATATGCATTTTCTACTTGGTAACCTGTGGGCCATGATAGCTCTGTTACACTGAGTTTTCCTTTCATCACCCCTTCTAGAACATCACTTGAGAACATTAACTCTTCTACCCCCTTGGTATCATAGCAGAACATGAAACTGACTGCTCAAATTCAGGACTTCCACACACACCGTGTGTTTAAAGAATGGTGTTTGGGGACAGGAATATGTTACACTATGACCACTGTCATATCTCTGCATCATACTTAAGTTACTAAAGTGTACACACTGTTGCAATATGGTTCCCTAATGTGCTGCAATTTTCTACACTTTGTCACACATCCAATGAAACCATATAGTTCTTGCACAAGTTTTTCGGTGACTGTCCCATTTCAAAAGGATTGTGGCCCCCGCGGTCACCCGATTTGTCACTCGCATATTTTTTTTTTCCTTTGGGGGTACCTCAAAGGAATTGTCTATAAAAACAATTCGCATACAATGGATGACCTCAAGAGGAACATTACGACGGCGATTAACAGCACCAGTTTACAGGTGTTTCATAAAGTAGCCTCAAACACGGTAAAAAGAGCTCGCGCATGCATTGCTGAACAGGGAAGCCATTTCGAGCATATGTTGTAAAGACATGATTTGATTTTGCATTTCTAAGATAAAAGGTTATAAACTTTAATAGTAAGTGCTGTATGTCTTGTAGTTTGTGCATTAAACTAGCAAAATATAATTGCTTAGTGCGATGTGCGCAACTTCTTGATCTCTCTGTAGCTAGAACACAATGGTGATGACATAAATAATGTAAATATAAATCACTGTTAGATGTTCCCTTATAAGTGCTCTACATTATCTGTCATTCACTCACACAAATGGGGGGAGGGGGAAGAAAGTAATTTTTAATTTAGGTATAACTTTTGCTACAAAAGAAATTGGATTATTAGGTTTCTGTACTAGAGGCTCTTGCTTTAGTCAGGTATTGTGATCTGCTCCTGTAAACAGTCAAATGTTCATATTCCTGTTTGGAACGTACATAACTTTTCTATCTTCAGTTGCTCCTGCAGTCACTGTCCTTCAGCTAGATGCGTTTCTGTTATTAATACAGTTTGTGAATTCATATATATTTTTAGAAACCTTATGTTTAAATTTAAATAACCTTAACTGAATTAACTGTTTCCTTATTTGTTTTTGTTGTTGTCATTCAGTACTGTGCTAACTCTGTAATTAGAACCTGGTTCTTGGGTTCAACATGTGTAAATCATCATCATCATCATCATCATCATCATCATATGCGTGGGTATATCCTGTTCCACATCAAAGACTATCCTTCCACTCTCAAAGAGCTTAATTTTTATACATACTTTCATCATTTTGAATCAGTGCATAATAGCATCAGTATTAAGATAGGCTTTAAGAGTTCTGCTTAGAGCAGAGATGGAAGTGCATCCAGGCAGCTGATCATCAGCTCACTGCATGAAAATGTCAGGTGAGATTCAAGATGGGTGATGGTGCTCCATACTTGGCAAAAACATAGTGGTTTTCAATTAACACTGGTGTTGTATTTTAACTCTCCGATCATAGATGGCAAAAACAAAGCCATTCTCTATCATTTGGCTAATGTGCAGCAGTTATTTACTCTTCTTCTTCTACCATAATTTCTGTTTTTTATGGATCAATGTGCAAAAAGTCTTCGAAGCTTCAAAACCCTCAGAAAAAACACTGGCTTTAAAAGAAAAGGGTTGTTTACTATCAGCTTATTATGAACAGTTTCTGAAATAGATATCTGAAGTAAACCTTCAGCAATACAGCATTTAAACGATCACTCCATGAACAGTTGCAGGCCATTTAATGCGTACACAAGGGACTGACGTATTAACTCATGCAACTCTCCATAAAAAATTGCAGTGCTTAAATCATTCAACAATGAGTACATTACACAGGTTATGCTGCATCAAATTAGTATACATTAAAACTAACCGAACAGTAGGAGGGAACAGACATAACCGACTTACTACAAAGAAGTACATTAGCATCTGATGAGACAGACAAAACAGCAACAGTGAAAAGCTGACCAGTCCATATACAAAGAACACAATCAGCAGTGATACTCATCATTATGTAATATTTTGTTTAGGGGTGCTGAAGTACTTCACTACTGCTAGCAACTTTAATATTTACTTTAGTGGAAAAAATAATGTGAAATAAATTATTTATTGTACTTGTCCTTGAACATAAAATTGGAGGCCAGAAATATTTAAAAAGAAAGAACACCTTTAAAATGAGCCAGGGCAGTTCAATTAGTGGCCAGTTAAGTTTGGCTCAATTCCTGTAGGGTTGGAAACTGCTGTCATAATACCCAAATCAGTTATGGCGCTTACCTATGTTTCTATCTGATGCACAAAACTAGTTGGAGTCTGAAGCTCACCAGTCACCACTTTACAGAACAGTGATGATGAAATTCGGTCACTAAGTTCTGAGTTCTACTTGCAAGAACCAGCCTAACAGAAATTACTCTAAACACCTAATGCAACTAATCACTACAGTACATGCATGCAATACTTTTACTTACTTGACGATGAAGACGTCGCTGCTCAACAGCATGTTCCAATATTGAGAACTGCTGAACATGGGCATGCTGTGACGCCATACCCAACGTGGAGCCGCCCTGTGATGGAACACATGTGAAGCCCTGGGCACGTGGGAAGTAGTACACTGTCACCTTATCAAACATGATGGCTTTCTTTCTCTTGGACTGAGGACCATCTTGTTCATCATATGGGAGATGGCGCTTCAGGTTGCTCTGCCCTGAAGCCTTCTGAGACCCGGATGTACTGTCTAGGATTGATCCTAAATCTGCATCTTCCTGTGCAGAAGACTGTGACTGTGACAAAGAGTAGTTCAAACCCATGGTTGCTTGATGTACATCAGGTGGTCCAGAAGAGGTGATGCCTGACAGTTCAAAGAAGCTTTCTGATGGTTCTCTGTGCAGAGATGATTTTTTTTTCAGCCTGACTGTTGCAAATTCTGAATGTTCAAAGTTGCTCAACGTGTGATCCGATGTAATTTTGTGATTATCACTCAGAGTCCCAACAACATCTGAATTTGTCTCAAGTACGTCTGTAGATATTCCGAGTGTATTTACAGATCCTGCTGGATCCTTGCTGGATTCAGCTAGACTGTCTTGAATTCCTTCAAGGAAATGAGCTTCACTATCGCTGCTACTGCTCACAGCTCCCTCTTCACTATCAGCCTGACCAGTTGCTGCCGTACTACCACATTCATCTGCTGAGCCAGATGACAGTGAATCTGCTGGAACACTCCTTTCTTCTGCTACGTCAGAACCCAGACCTGAATCACTTCCATCTGAACGGTCATTTGCTTCCAGTATCTCCTCCTGACTTTCAACACCACCTGGTATCTCACACAAAGAGCCTTCAGCAAATGAATCTTCTTCTTGTGGGACGTCTTCTAGCTTTGTCACATTTGGGAGGAAATCTTGATTACCAGCATTTTTACCAGCCTCATTAACATCTGAACATGCATCAGAAACATGATTTTCCACAGAACTCAATGTCTCTCTAGAACGTTTTGAAAGAACAGTTTTCAAAGATTCTAATGCCAAACAATGTGCCACTTCTAGTCTGGTATCCACACTGTTTGGATGACAACAATCTTGTTTTCTTTCTTTTGCTGAAATATCTTCAAGTTCCTCATTCTTATAGTTTGTTTCCTCAATTTCAGTTGCTGATCTATTACCAGATTCCAATTTGAAAGTAACTGTCTCTTGAGAAGACAGGCACTCAGAATTTGATACTAAATTATCAGGGCATGTAATATGTTCATGAGAGCCCATACCCTCAGTGTTCTGCATACCTGTTCACTAGGTATGTTCCCCTACCTAAAAGAATAATCACACAATTATTCTGGAAACTAATATGAAAACAATGAAATTGAAAACATGAGGCTATCACAAACATTCAACTGAAACCCAACATACCTATGAGTGATGAAAGTAGGAATTCTCAATCTGCTATGGGTGATATAAAAATACTGGAATGCCAACACTTCATCTCTCTGCAATGAATAACACTGTCATTAGAAGTTCCACAGGTTTAATAGCAGTTTAACAAAGAAGGGATATTATGAATTAGCAATTCCCACCATGCTATGGGAGATCTGTAACTACCTGACTACCAACACTTCACTTCTCTGCAAAGACTAAGGTTATGACAGAGTTAATAATTACTTTACGACTGGCGGTTTACTGGCAATCAGTTCGTCTTTGTGACAAGCCCAAGACTCACGAGCAGCATTCTTTTCCAACTGAATACTTGTTTTCACAATCCTCATGTAACATCTTCTCTGATTAGAGGATATGTCTGTAGTCTACAATTGCTGCTGGCCCTCACCAGCACAGTCATTCTCAGGTCCGACTCCGCCAGACTCGCATTTTACTATTTCAAATTCGAGACTTCCCCAACCTGAAGCGATAGTTCCCCGTATTTATTTCCCCCAGGAACAGGGTGGCCCCAGGTACTGGGTTCCATTTTCGTCGTCTCCTACGAATCGCAGGGATACCGTGGAGGTATTCGACTCCGCCTCCACACGGGAGTGCTCAGGTTATGTCAACAACATAGGTTTTAAAAGCAGCTGACCGACGGCACACTACTCTCCACGCACAGACGTTAATTTCAGCTAAAAATACAATATACTGTATTTTCACTTACTTGTACATCATTCCATGCGATACCTTTAAAACTGTTATATTCTGACACTATCACAATTTTATTATATATTTACTCTTAAAATAAGTAGGTTATGTCATAAACAATAATTTCGGATTGCCCGGGCTAAATATTGGGAGTACACAACGATCCCATCAACATGAACGTAATCTTCTTATCAGTGAAACACTTTAAGCAACTACAAATCATTTAACTGAAAACGATAATTATTGAGAGAATATATCGTACAGTAAACCATACCAACATTCTTTTCTTAAGTATAACCTACCACACTCGTAAACCCAATCAGTTCAACGCACCTGCATTGGCTACTAGCAGTATTCTGCTAGCCTCTAGCCAGGGGACTGCACATGCGCAGACATCGGCAAATATGACGTACAATCTAGGCATCACGGAATTTTCCCTCTTCTGGAAGTAGAAAAAAACAAACAAAACTTAAAATGAATATTTCTATTAATAATTATCGACATAACATATAAAAATGACAAAAAAGACTGATCTCGGTTACTATTTGAAAGCAGCACTATTTCGAACATGTTGCGGTTTTAGGACCATGAAATATCAATTCGCAATCGTTTCACCCTGCGAGAGGCTAGATGACGAATTCTTCCTCATGCTATAAAAATTTGTGTGTAGTTATTTCGAATTGCATATGTGACTGACAGTAACTGAGATGTATATGGGTGGGAAAATATAACTGTAAAGTGCAGTAATATATAATCGTTACAATTTTTCTGGAACACACTTTCTACCTTTGTGCATTACAGTGACAATGTAAAGTAGAAAGGAGCACATTACAGAAATAAACATTCTCATACCAATCAACAAACTGCACCACTTACATTTAATTGTAATAAATGCACATAGTTGCTTTCATATTACGCATGGTCTAGGTGTAATGCTGTTTGTGCACAGAAAAAGTCGACATTGACAAACATAATTTCAAAGAGTTTATAACAGGGTTCCGCCCTACTACTGCTGCTGAGATCACGGAATTGATCCAAAGAAGGATGAAATTAACAGTTAATATTGTATGAGAACTTTAAGATAACTAATGAGTCCTCGCGTCATATTTTTCCACGTTTTTCTTTTCAACCCCGTGCGTCTGCTGACGTCAGGATGGTATTCTTGTTATACCACCTATTTGTTTGGATAGTAGCATTTAGACAGCCTGGCTCAGGTACTTGTGGGCGGCCTAGAATATGTTGTACCGCGAGGGAGGGGAGAAGGGGGCGCGACACTAGTGTTGGTGGTGGTGACGACGGCACAGCCTCTCGTCGATATACGTACGTACAGCTCACAGCCAGTAGTGACGTCATGAAATCTCCTAGGCTATTCCGGGCTATTCTTAGGCAGACCGTCGCTTGCTGGACGACTGTTCTTCTGTCTTAGCAGTTAAAGAGTTGCTCAATCAGGGCCAAAATATGCTTGAAGCAGAACAAGAATGATCATTTGTGTGTTTTAATACCTTTATATTTGTAGATAAGCTTCGACACAAATATGTATGATGCATTTAAAGGCGAAAATATTCCGAATAAGTTCTTCGCCAAATATAACACTGAAGGAAGTAAGATCAGTCATATTACGGGTCAAAGAAAATGGTTATCAGTTTTCAATCCGCCCACGTATTGAACCAGAGAGATACATTTTGGCGCGAGGAGTGCTGGGTAGGCTACCCGTCTTGCCTTCCTGGCCACATCGATCCACTGCTAGAAGCGAGGTATGGTCTGCCACATTGATCCATACACAAGGTCTTCCCTTTTCAGCGAGCTTACGTAACATGGGAGGGTCTGACTATATCCACGAGAATATAGTAACTTAATCACTTCCTTTCAATTTGCGAAGGACCATTGATGTGAAAAGGTGAACGCTTCTCCATAATCAGCCTAACACTCCGGGTTTTGGAAAAAGGATTTCCAGTGTTTCTTTTTTACCAGAAGTTTATGACCCCGTCTGCAAAGTTTGTCAAACAACTGAAAATAGACATATTAGTAAATTTGGAAAATCTGAACCCCGGGATTCATCCTCCCTTCCTCCAAATGCAATTGTAGTTCAGTCTATTGACGTGTTCGTTCGTGTACACTCGGCATAGTTCGCCCCCGTTCGTACTGGTATATTGATCCTTTAATATTATTTCCCCACCCCACACCCTCTAAAAACCTTTTGAAATTGAGATTTAGGTAGGGGTGGGAGAGAGGATTGTTGGAAAAGGAGAGACAGAGAAAATTAACGCAAAAGAGACGCACAGACGAACCTTGTTTGTCACTATGACAACGGTTGTTATAGCAACTGCACATTGATTTGACTAAGAGGCACGACATTGTCAATGTAAAATATTGAAAAGGTTTCTTCACATGGTTCTGACAGTGATACCACTTTATCTACAACTGTAAATAATTTAATACATAAAACGGCACCACAATAAAATGTATTAACAAAACATGATGCAGGATTTGAGGCTCTCACAACGGTGGTTATGAAGAGTTATATATCCTGGGATATGACTTGCAATAGACTGTAGTTCGTCATACAAACAAAACCGTACAACACATAATTAAATTATTTATCGGTAGCTTCAAAAATCGAAATCATGGAAAATAGTAAACCAGTAAAACCAGTCCAAAACAGAACCCGAATTAAAGAGAAACCTACATTAATTAGCAAACTTCTTCGTTTCCGAGAATAAACAATGAACAACACCAACGTTATCTCTAATAAATGGAAATTGTTTAACATGGAACGAGAAATGGCGAACGCTTCACTGAATATTTGTTTTCCGTCATAATTTTGGTCCTGGAATATATTCGGGAAGGAATATCTCTGCCACAACCGAGAAAGAAGTACACTTCTACCGTCGCGAAAATCTGTACATAATATTTTAAAGAACTATCAAAAGAAGAATAATAAGAAAATATAGCGAAAAAAGTGTCTATTCTTTGCACACGTAAAGAATGAATTTATGATTCGCGGTGGATTATAAATGCATGGGATATGTAATAAGCAACATCTCTGTCTAAAGGCACATGTATTAAAGGAAAACTTGTATAGAATGGGAAAAGTTCACATTTCTTGCGATTCAGTCATATTTTGCGAGTTTCAGGGCACCAGTTGGTTAACCAGACAAAAGAAACAATACGAATAACGGCACATTACAACCGTCTTCATGTAATGTTTTGGTACTTTTTATATAATAATAATTTATTATGTGATTACAATCGGGGAATTCGTATTTGAAACAGGAAGGATTCTCTCTTATATGCACTGAAGGCACATGGTTGTATAGCGCTCCCATCTTTCAAACTTCGCGCCGACAAAGACGTCTGCTTGAAGGTTGTCCAGACTTTAATTTGGTATTGATAACATCACTTTAATAGGAATATGACAAAAACATATACACACGTTTCATCAAACATATGTAACACGAATAAACACATGTACTAGGTTTTTTAAGTTCTACAGGAAAGATAAAATTAACAATTTGAATTACTGAATTGATTTCACTTCTATAATTAAATATTTCGTTATTTGTCTTTACAATAAATCTCTTGATATGTATCCTGTCTCTATTCCACTTGCATAAAAACGGCCGAACCTTGGTAACTGACAGTGATTATTTGCCATATCGCCACAGTTACCCTACTATTACCCTAAATGACGTCAAAGAGGATAGCGATAAAAGCAGTACCCTTGTTCCACTTACATCGGCTAACCTACTTTCCAACCAGACAAACTTGACGAACGTAAGCGAGACATACGTTCAAACCGAAGACTCATAAGTAATTTATATACTGATAAGTGAACTGGTAACGTTACAAAAGAAATCAGCTCTCATACCTCAATGCGGATTGTCACCGCCAGCCTCTCCTGCTATTCAACCTCGCTTTACTGACAACTCGTCGCTCTTTCCCAGAGCTGGCTTAGCGCCCCCGTGCTACAACGAAGTATCTTCCTAATAGTTGCACCGTGGTGGCGCTAGTGTTCATGGATATATTGCCATCTAAGAACAAATACGTGTACTGTATGATCCAATTGTGCACGGAGACGAAATGAGTGTTAAATAAACTACACTTGCGTAATTTCCTTGTACAGAGAGCATGCAAGGAGGGATGAAACAAGCGTAACAGCGCTGTATGAACAAATACAACACTAAACTTAGTATTAAAACATGTAAATTTAATTAAAAATCAGACACTCAAACTATGAACGAGAAATGGAAAATATGTTTTGGATTGGCAGAGCGTTTGCTCATGATTCAAGAATGCAGTCACTCATAAGTTAATTGAATTTTCTGTGTTGCAAACATCAACCAAAATCCAATGTGCATTTCGTTCTACTATCGAGCAAGATAGGTCAAGTTTTTGGATTGTATTTGGGAGGTGGCCGGTTCGAATCTCGGCCTGGACACAGCCAATCTTGACTGAGGACTCTTTTGTAGTTTTCCTCAGTTCCTCCAGGCATAGACCGTAAAAGTGTCACAAATTGGGCTAACAAAGTTTCCTTACATATCCTTGCAAATTTACTACTCACAAATCATCATACTATTTGAAATTAAGCGGCAGAAATCATGACAAATCTAGGAGTTCGGACAAACCTTTAGTGCTAATCACATAATAGACAGTGCTGTAGGCATACTAGTAATTTGTTCTAGATCTATGAGATTTGAGGTTCTCGTGGCAGTGATGTGAAGCCGTGTAGCCTGGTAGATGCTTACCGAAATTTTGAAGGAATCTGATGCCTTCTTTTTCAGTGTAAATACCGCAGTTTATTCTACCCTGAATAAAAAAGCCAGCAAGTTACACAGAAACGAGGTCACATCCCAGAATATAATAAAGTTCCTCATACATTAAACTTGTGACTAATTCTGTGCTTATAAAACACAAGATTTGTAACTTTTAGAGAGGGCTGATTCGTAAATATTTTGTGAGAAAGGGATGAGTATGGAGTCTGGCATTGAGGAATGCGTTTGTAAAAGCCTACGTATGGAAGTCTACCAAAGTACCATAAACTACCAAGGTATTACAAGTCTGCAGTGACGTAGACCTTAATGTTACGCTCAGAAAAAATAATATAGCCGATCACAGCAGCCGCGCGGTCTAAGGCATGTACTGTCTTCGCTCGATCGGAAGGCGGGATCGTGGGTTCGAATCCCACTAAAGACATGGATGTTTGGTATGTGTATGTGTTCATTCTGTGTTTGTGTTGTCCTATGTTTAGGTCGAGACCTTGTAACGAGCTGATCACTCGTCCAAGGTGTCCTATCGT